TGATAGTTCAACGGTTCGACTTGCGAGTCGTAACGCAATGTCTCGGCATCTTTTTGTGGAGCTGCCAAGGCAACAGCGAATAAAGCGAAAAACACAATAACGAATTTCATTTTATTTGAAGTGTGGAAGCTAAGCGTGCGTGATTGCTATAAACAACGTTGAGTTTGTGAATGAATGAAATGTGCCTGCAAAGCGCTAGTTTTATAGCGTCTTAATGTAATGGCGACCGAGATGTAAACATCAAATGTGTGTAGTAGGAGTCACAAGTAATATGTCATGCTAATTAGGGCGACAAGCTACTTAGAGGGAAGACCCAAGCTACCATCGTTGCTGCAACGCAATATGTTTCTTGGAAAAATTTATGCAAATTAGATAGATATATTAGTGTCAAACAGGCTTTTACAGCCTAGAGGTAAACCACATGCTGACAAGGCAACATTTTTGAGTTATCAAATAGAAGTGATGTATTATAGATAAATATTACATTTGTTTAGCAATTTATTTATGTGTGTTTAAATATAGTAAAGTCTTTCTGACTATACATTTTTGGATTTGCTGCTTCACAAAATAACAACAAATTAATATTATCGGCTTATTTATTAATTATGTTTTGAAACATGAAAAATGATTCTAGCGGGCCGCAGCTGATTTGGTGATTTCTACACGGGTTTTCCACACAATAATATTTGACGTAGTTCGGTAGAAACGCATTTGAACCTTAGTGTAAATTTTCTGACCCTTTTTTATTATTATCTTATCTAATATATATACGAGAAGGGGATTTGAACTAATTTTACAATTTGCAATACATTGATTATGCTTCTTTGCGGCAATTCGAAACTTTCACTTTCATCAGAATGCTCAATTTATTTGAGCAATAATTATAAAATAAGCGATTGTTATTATTAAAGTCTAAATAAATGCATTTAGTTGTACGATCCATAAGGGTTTGGCAAGAATCGATTATTATTCAAATTCTATTAAATTCGAAACCAATTGTGTCTCTGGATCGCTGTGATGATGCTACTAGGATATTAAAACCAATGTGCAGTAGTGTGGTATCGTAACGTTCAAAGCAAATACTTTGGATAAATTCTTGTATCACCTCTATCGGCATGCGGGCGCAAATAGGTAATATGTTGAAGAATATCAAATTGCGTTCACAAATGGACTCTTTTGTCGCTCATATTGGCAAATTCTCGCTTAGTGTCGCAAATTTTTTTTATATATCGAATTCCCAAATTCTTGTACGCTTTATGCACGCGGTGCACATTATACTAGATGCATATTACATACAAAAAATGTATAATATATATTTTCAAACGTAATGTATGTATGGTAAATATAAATTTAGAACCGAGTGCAATTGCAACTATGAAAAGAGTTTCAAAATGAAAAGGAATGGCGAATCGCGGAGAAGCGTACTGCTATGAACAGTAATACAAATCGTACACAAAACACAGAATTGGGCGAGAAAAGAGTCCGTGTGTGAACGCAGTCACATTCTGTATCAGATTGCGTTGAGATTCATAGCCTCTCTCTCTCATTACCTATATGCAGTCTCCATAAGTGTTAATTACCAAATATCGAACAAAGTTATATAGATGTGCGGACGGGGATGCGAAAGTCTTAATTGATTGAGTATAGCTAGTTACTATAGATTACATAACCTGAAGCTAATGTATACCTCAGTGTATCTAAATTCCTACCAGTTTTGTTAGTGAATTAATATTAATAGACTTCCAAGTATGACGGACATTTGATTATAAAGAAGATTATTTTGCCGTTTGAGAAGCGTGCCTTTATCCGGGAAATGAAGGAATCTACATGTGTTAAGTCGACTCCGAAGCGCTACAGTATTTATTGAAAAGTTCGGATGCTGGCATTGCATTTAGAGCGGCGTTTTTTTAGAAAAAAAAATTTTTTATGTTGATGCAAAGAGCATCGCAATTGGCTACGATTATATTAGTTATAAGAACAGTTTTTAGGGTAAAAATCATATAAAAAAGTGAACAACGATTAAAATTATATATGAAATTCCAAATTGATGTAGATATTCTTTACACTGCTTCTACTTACACTTATTTATTGAAATCTTAACTATTATATTAAACTTTTGCGTAGGAAATTCTTATGATTCTATCGTAAAATAGTATTACATTTAATTTTAAAACACAATTCGGAAACAAATATGCATTTATACTATCTAGACCTAATGCGTTGTTGAAATAGTAATTGTTCTAAGGTTTGAAATGTACCGGCCGTATTAGACATCATTGTACTCATGAGAGTCTCATTCACACTAATAATCCAAAGTGACCGTCAGACATACAAGTGCAAACAGTTGTCAAGAACAAAGTTAAGCTATCCTACCAAAACTAAAAGAGTTCATCCAAATTTATACTTCACATTACATTACAGTAAACTTTTAAGAAATTAAATGCATTTTTTGAAGTAGGTTTTTTTTTTGCGTTTTTTAATACCAACTAACACTAGTCAACAAGTAACAAGAAATAGTTTGATCACAGTCATTTAGGCGACAGGGATATGAGCACCTTGGGGTTGGAAACCATTTTTGTCAGCAATGTAATCCACTCTGTAGGTCTGACCATCATCTCCGATGTACGAGTAGAAGCCGCGTACAACGATAGCCTCATCTTCAGAGCCCAAATCTTGGACCTCACCCTGTTCCTGGGCAGCTTTTCACATGCTACCGTCTAACGCGCAGCCAAGAGAGAATATAAATATTTGCAATAACATTAAGAAAGAAAGGAGTTGTCGGTTTGTGACACTTACTGAC